CACTGAGCCTGGTTATAAATTCCATCACACCATGTAGGGAAACAGGCACTGTGCTTTACAGGTTAAAGGTCACAGAAGAGGTTGATATACTGCCCCGGTTTCACGTATTTTAGAATCTTAGCAATGACTGCTAAGGAATATGAGACCATCTGAAGTATTTTTATAAAGTATCAATGCAGAGGTCCTATTCTTAGAGACTTTGATTTAGCAGATTTGGGCTTTTTTTTTTTATTCCTAAAGAAAATTTAAAATCATCTTTAAATTTTTCAGGTACTTCCAACATGTAGCTAGGGCTGGTCATCACTGACATGGCCCAGTCCCTTCCCTGTCCCCATTTACAAAGGACCAGACAGATGGCTGACAGTGGCAGAATGGTCAGCAGAAGCATGCCATAGGAATTTCTAAAATCCTAAATTGAGCATTCTAAATGTCTTGAAACTTCCTTCTTCAAAAGCCTGCCGCTGATACTGTTTTTTAGGCAGAGCAAAAATATGTTAAGTACTATCAAGAAGGTGATTTCACTCAAGCCAGAGTAATCTCGATCTGAGATGAACAGCAAATGATAAGTTTACTCTAGTTTTTATTTCTAGATTTGAATCATGGTGAATCCAAAAGATGAAAGAATTCTATCTCATGTGAGGCATCTTCGAGACAAAGACAGAAAAAAAAAGTGTGTGCCTGGAAACAGTGCACCATTGTAAAATTAAACAGATGAACTAACGTCATGAAGTTTAGATGAAAAGTAGAATGACTACAATGAATGCCGGGTCCCGATCCAATTCTTAAAATGATTCCATTTCGTTAAGTAACGGAATCCTAAGAGAACAGGCAAATGGTTGATAAATGTATGAAAAGATGTTTAATCTCCTCAGAGATCAGGGAGATAGGAAATAAACTACAATTTATTGGATTAACAGAAAGTAAAATACTGATAATCCAGCTCAACAAAGGCATGAGAGAAAGGGTGATTTGGGGTACATTTGGGAATTGTGTTGTTTTGAGATCTGAGCATCAGGTACAAAGGATTCTGGGAGAAAACACTTTTCTCCTTCATTGTCCCTACAAGGGACTTTCCCTTGAGACTGTGAATCAGCAGAGCTTGGTCCTTGGTTAGTGCATGCACCGTTTCCATGTCAGCAACGTGGAGCCCAGCAGCACTGGAGCTGCCTTCCCTGCTCCGTCCTTGTCGGTTCCTAGAGCCCACTCCAACCGCAGACCACGAGGTTCTTAAACCGCAAAGCTTAGCAACTTCACCCCCCGATGGTGCAAGCTGACAGGCTGCTCACCCATGGTAACAAAGTCTGAATGTCCCACTGTCCGAACAGCTTTTCATTTTCTCATAGTGACTTTTGTCCTCAAACAACCCTAGAAGGTAATCATTATTTTTGTTTTAATTTTACATACAAGCAACTGAGATTTGGGGAAGTTTAAATAGCTTTCCTGAGAACGCTCGGCCTGTAACTGGCAGAAAGAGTCTTGATGTTTCTGGTTTGAAAGTATCCCCTGTCTTTAAAAAGGAAGTCTTCAGAGTGAAGTTAGTTTTCCAATAGTTTCCCCTCCCAGAAGACCGACTCTTAAACAGATGTCTGAGGGACTGATTAAGGGCTGGAGGCTAGCCCAGGTCAGGAGACCCCAGCGCTGGGATGAATCCTGAGGCCTTCCATTCTGAGGCATTGTCCTGGTCTAGGGTCACTGCCTGCCTGTCAGCGTGCTGGGGCCTGTGCTGGCCCTGGTGCACTTCTGTGGAAGGGAAGGCCCAGCCTGCAGTGATACAGTCTACTAGGATCCAGCAGACACTGGGCTTGTGTCAGGGGCCCTGGGGAATAGTTTATATTGATTTTCAACTTGACAGAATCTAGAATCACACAAGAGATGAGCCTCTGGACATATCCATGGGAGAGTTGATTGCTTAAGTTAACTGAGGTGGGAAGGCCCACCCTAAATATGGGTAGAGCCATTCTGGGGGGCTGGGGTCCCAGGTGTTTTATTATCTTCCCTCATGCTCTGAATTCGGCTCAGCGTCTTTTGATTTTCTGTGAAACTGAGAAAATCCTGAGCAAGTTGGTCTGAGTTTGCCCTGGTAAATTTGGGCCCTTCAGGCTCCCAGACGACCTGAAGAAAGGGTGAAAAGAGCCCCTCTCTTACTTCTGCCAGAGTGTATGGTGGTCCTCGCCCAGTGACCTGTCTGGAAAGGGAACCCGGTAGTCCCAGATGGGTAAGTCTGACCCCACCGAAATTCCAGCATCTTGCTACCAGCACAGCTGTGTCTGATGGGTGACACAGGACTGGAGCATTCACCAAACACAACTTTACCGCTTTTCATTAGCGTGAATCAATAATGGAGAATACAAAGGCTCTCTCTTCCTGTCCCTGATTTGGAACAAAGAATCAGGGTACTAGGTGCAACTAAGTGTTGCCTTGAGAAAATCAACCAGGAAACCAAGAGCCTCGGTGGATTGGGTGTAAGAATTTTCCAGGCAGCCCCGCCACAGGTAAGTACTCTATTGTAAGAAACATTTATACGCAAATGCTTGGTTTCTGTTCACTGTGGAGTTGTCATCAGCAAGTAAGAGTAGTGACGCAAGGTCACTTAAGTGGGTAAAAAATTTAAAGTGTCCTATACCCCACCCACAGACAAAACCACAGAGGACGCCTGTGGAGGAGCGCCTGCTTTGGGATTCCTGTTTTTGGTCTCTCATCTCTGCCTCTCTTTGCCTTTTGCTTTGTCCTGTCTGAGTTCAGGAGTGCCAGTGAGGAGTTGGGGAAAGAGGATTATCCTAACAAGAGCAGGATGGACTTTTAACTCCTCTGTCCCACAGTCAACAATCTCTCAGTAGACGTGGCAGGAAAATTCTGGAGAAGGTTTCAAACTGGCCTCTTCTGGACCATGTGGCCGTCTCTGATAACTGACATGGGCTTTGCTACCATCCAAACAGGGGAGAAGTAGGGCTAGGGATGTGCCCCATTAGCGTGCTTGTCTGGCTTACTTAAAGCCATGCTCTCTATCCTCAGCACTGCGTAAACCAGGGCCAGGTTGCTCCAGCTTGTAATCCTAGTGCTCAAAAGGTAAAGGCAGGAAGGTCATAAGTTCAAGGCCATACTCAACTATGTACATGAGGCCCAGTCTCCAAAGAAGGAGATGACAGTAAAATATGAGTAGAAAATGAAAAACATATAATTTTATTTCCCATGGTTTGTTCAGCATCCAGCACAGTGCTGGCACAGAGCTGAAATCCAGCATTTCCTTTCAAGTAACTCAAGAAGAACCACCTTTAGTCTTGATGCAAAACTCAATAAAAGTCAGCATTAGAAGACCATGATGTTAGAATCATAAATTAAGGAACACTGTGAGAAAGAGAAACGAAATAAGAAAATCAGGAGAGCCAACTGGCCTCATTGCTAACAGCCATCCAGGGAATACCCAGCAGAGAACTGGTGATTTCAAAGGATGAGTCTGATGGCCAAGCGTTAAAAACTGAAGATGTCATAAAGTGAATTGGGCCTAGCTAATTCTAAAACACTAGAAGTTTGCAGAAAGAGTTGATATGAATATTACATGAAGGGCAGAACCAAGCTGGGGAAACTTACTACCTATCTCCGTATTTGTTTGATCCAGTTTCAGAATGGAAATACCATCAAAGCCAGATATCCAGACACATCTCTTAAGTGGTCTGCACTCAATGAAACAAGAGCCTAATGAAAATCACGATGCTGGAGTACTTTGGGGCTGGTGCTAAAACCTCCAGCCTTTCAGACACTCTCAGATGCCTGTGTCCCTGCTTTACACAGAGGATATCTGTCAGCATCTCCAAACTGAGCTCCACAGTGTCTCCAGACAACTTCCTGTGTCCTCGCCAGGCCAGGCCTCTGAAGTGGTAGGAGAAGAGTCCACAGAACAGGTGGGTTCTGGAACATCCCTTCTCAGTATGAGGAGAAGTGACATTTTGGGGAAAGAGATTCCACAGGCGGAAGGTTGCGGCCTGGGGACACACGAAGCAGGGCATAGTGTGTGTCTGCCTGAAGCAAAGACAAGCGATTTCTCATGGGGGAAGGCAGTGACTGAGAAGAAACAAGGATGGACAGAGGAGGAGAGGATTGTGTCTTGACATGATGGATTCTCTTCTCTTAGAGTTTTACATGCACAGGGATGGAGAATTGTATACATGTGTATGTGTGTGTGGGTGTGTGCAGTCAATAGTCTTCTATTGCTATGCAAATACCCTAGGAAAACCATTTAAAGGAGAAAATATTTATTTGGGTTCACAGTTACAGTCCAGGGCAGGAAATCACAGCAGAAGGGTATGGTGGATCAGAGGTTCTCAGCTAATGGGGACCAGGGGACAAGGAGGGGGAGGAGATAGAAAGGGCAGGGGAGGGAGAGACACACACACACACACACACACACACAGAGAGAGAGAGAGAGAGAGAGAGAGAGGAGAGGCAAGGCAAGATATAATCCCACTGACCCATTTCCTACAGCCAAGCCCACTGCTTAAGCTTCCAGAACCCATCAAAATAGTATCAGCAGCCAGGGAGCCAGGCCTTCAATACATGAAACTATGGTAACAGACAGAACAGAATTGAGGCTTGTTGCTGCCCTGGGAGACAAGCTCCCTCAGAGACGGAGACAGGATTCCCAGAGGCAGGGGCTGTGGACTCTCTGGATGCAGGCTCCCTTTCTCCACACAGTGGACCAGAGAACATTTGCTGAGGCTTCTACAGAGATCCACCCCACCCTTAACACCACTAAGAGAGGGGCGGGGCTGTCTGAGGTCCACACCTCCCCATAAGCACCACTTTCCTTCCCTCGGGCAACTCACACCCCTGAGTGAAGATGTGATCAGTACAAAGCTTACTTCACAGCTAGTTAATTCTACAGAGAAGCCTAAGGCTTTACCATAAGGAAAAATGCAATGGATGCACCCAATTAAACAGTTTTCTGACATCTCCTTTCTGATTTCAGCCATCTGTCATCCAGGACTCTGAGTCCAAGCCCTTACCTGCTAGCAGTGAAGCAAGCACACGTGATTCTGGGCGGAGACTCTATCTTCTGTCTTGTTCATTCCTCTGAAACAAGATACAGTGAAATAGAAATTGTCCAGGTTTAGTTTTCTAACAATAATATGCATTGTTCGACTGAAAAATGATACAATGCTCCAACCCGCCATGGTGCAGAATATTTGATCCCATTGTTGAGCCCCGAGATTGTGAACTTTAAAAACCTGTTTCTAGTCACGGAGTGGATCAGCCCTAGCACACACCTTTAATTCAAAAGCTTTCTGTAAACATGAGCTGCATAAAGTCAACCCTAGGTCAAGAGGCTGAGCAAGTGACTAGCTGACAGGGATTAAACTGAAAGGAGGGACTTTGAGAGACAGGTATGTAAGACAGTGTGGAGAAGGAAAATGGACTTTTGGCTTTTGGGTTTTGGGGGCTTTAAGCTTTGAATTTTTGGCCTTTTGAGCTTTTGGCATTCTGGGCATTTGGGTTTTTGCCTTCTGGGATGTGAACCGAGTAGAAAGGCTTTTTCCTTCTGGATGTCTGCCAAGTAGGAAGATCAGCTGGGAGCTTTCTCTGCCTCTCTGAGCTAGTAGGTTTTCACCCCAGCCTCTGGCTCTTGAGTCTTTATTGGTAAAAACTGAACAACTGGGATTTTTCATTCCTTATAACACCACCACCACCACCCGTTGCTTTTCAAAGACTAGAAGGTATTTTTATCTAGGGATGAAGAAATGAGGTTGCCCTGAGACCGCTTGTGTCACTGAGCATCTGTCTACAGGTGTGCTCCTCTGAAAGCACTTTGACCCCTCTTTACGTCACTCCCACCTCTTCCCCTCTGATACTCATTCTTGCAGGAACAGTTTAGAGATGCTGTTTCCTAGACCCCTTGTGAAGGAGTGGCAGATTTCCCTATAAAAAGTCTAATGAAGGCTGACCATTTTGAGAAAAATAATGTAATGATACAGCAAATTTTAAGATTCAGTTCTAAGTGATAGCTGCCACCCTTTTTCACATGATCAGCGATCTATTTGAATACATTTTATTTCCCTTTTCATTCTGAGGCTGTGTTACCTTGCTCCCTTCTCCCTGTTAAATTATCTCAGCCACTCTCGTAACCATAGCAGTGTGCACTTAGCTTTTTCTTTCAGATTCTGCTTTACCTTCTCTATACTGACATCAGGACACATCCCAAGTCCCTGGTCCAACCCCTAGACCTTTTCCCCTGCTGGCCAGTCAGTGTCCTCCTAGCTATCATCACTCCCCCTCTGGAGCCAGTTTCTGTGCCTCATTTTAAACTCTGCTAGATTGTTTCCTAACTTAAAGCAACCTTCCGCTTTTCTCTGTCAGCCAAATCTGGAGTCTTTTAACCTCAGCCCAGACCTGCCCTTCCTTCCTTTACAGAGCTTTCTATGTTTTGACTCAGCAAATGAAAGAAACCAATAAGACACCATGATGTTTCTGTTTCATCATAGGACCAGGGCTTCCTCAGCAGGGTTAAGTACACTTTCCATTGGAATGAGCTTAAACCCTCTCAAGGAAACAAACAAGCAAGCCAGCAAGCAAGCAAACAAACAAAACAAAACAAACACAGAGGTAGGGCCTGACCCAACTGGTCCCTGCCAAACAGTTCTGAGGTGGTCTGGGCTGAGTGGGCTTCCTATAGAAAGGATGATATAAACTCCATTTTGTTTCCACTTTAGGACAGGCATGACTTTAAAAGAAAAGTCATCAGTCCTAGGAACTAGGCCATAGGTCACCAATTCAAGGAACAGCCTGGAGATAACCATAAGAATGGGAAAATATTTTATCTCATCCTGTGGTTAAATGTTCAAGGCACAGGAATGCAGTCCACTGACCACCTGGACAAAAACCAATCAGGAATCAACCCTTGTAACTTCCCCGGCACTCACCAATGAGGTTTTAGATTACCTAGCCCTTGCTAGAATTCCCCTAGCCTCCTATAAAAAGGCCTTCGTGCCTTTGTCTAGGGTCGCCATTTTGTAAAATGGTTTGACCCTTGTGTGTGGGTTTTCATGATATAAAACACTCTTGCCAATTGCATATATGAGCAGTGGCTTCTGTGGGGTGATTTTGGACTTAACACTGTAACAAGGCAAAGAAAAGGAAGGGCTGTGGAGATGGATGGAGTCTGACAGGTGGCAGGAATTCAGACTGTACCCTGGAGGCTGTTCTGGGTGGCCTTCTCTCCCCTCCACAGAGGTGGCCTTGTAGGGTCACATCTATCATCTTTCTATTTTCTGTAGCTTCATCCTTCCAAAAGTGCCCTTTATCATAATTGAAAGGTTGGGTTGAAGTGAATTTCCTAATACTCTAGAGATACGGGATTTTACCCAGGTCCTAAATCAATTTACCCTTAATCTTTAGCCCAGTGAGTCAGAGGAAGCTTTAGCTCTCTGCACAGGAATGCCGGGCTGAGGCCTGCACCCCACACCACTCGTCTCGTTTGTCTGTGCCATCAGGAAGCTGCTGTGCAGTTAGCCAGCATGTGCTGACGGGCACTGTGTCGGGCACTGTTCACTCTGCGCTTAACGCTTGCGACACCTCGGCCTGTAATTACCTCGGTCACACGGCCCAACCGAGAGAACCCGCACGCCAAAGGTTTTGAATGTCCCTGCTGTTACGGTTGGAATGCAGAACGTCCCCTACCCAAGGCTCATATTTTCAGTGTTTGGTACCCAAATTTTGGAACTATTTTGAAGTCTATGGAGCCTTCAGGACAGCGGTTCTCGGTTCTCAACCTTCCTGACGTTGTGACCCTTTAATACAGTTCCTCACGTCGTGGTGAACCCCAGCCACGAAATTATTTTCATTGTTACTTCATAATTGTAATTATGTAAAATATTACTTAATTGTAATTATTGTAATAATAATTGTAAATTTGTAATTTTGAAAAATTACAAAATTTTCATAATTTTGTAATATATTACAATTGTAATTGTAATATATATATCAAATATATATATATATATATTACATTATAATGTAAATATCTGACATGCAGGGTGTCTGATACACGACCTCTGTGAACATGTCACTAGACCCCCAACAACCTGTAAGTTATGAACCACTGCTTCAGGAGATGGGCCTAGGTGGCAAGGGTAGGTCCCCCCCAGGACGGCCTGTGAAGGCTATCATCCTTTGGTTTTAGTATAGCTGCCTCTGCTTCCTAGTCTTCCACAGCACGAAGCCACCTCCTGCCGCCAGACCCTCCTGCCAGGATGGGCTGAGATCCCTCTGAACCTATCAATTTAAGTCAACCCTTTCTTCCTTCCTTGAGGTGTTCCTGTTGGGTGTTTTGGTCCCGGCAGTCTATGCGAGAGGCTGAGCCCAGCCCCATAACAAGCATTCTCATCTGGCTTCAGTTTAGGGGAAGTACATTAGTGGAAGCTTTTTCACTGTAAGGCTAAACTGAGACTCAAGTGTTTGCTGGAGACCCAGCCTTCAACACTTTCCTGATTTCTCTCTTATGGTGTCTGCTGGGATCTGAGGGCCTCTCATTACCTGAAATATGAAAACGGCACATACTTAATTATTCATTTTCTATCACCCTTAATGAGGGGATTAACTGCAGAATGAAACAAAAGGAAATAGTCCGACCTTCAGGCTGTCAGGAAGTGATAATTAACTAAAACCTCAAATCCCTTCAAACGGACAAATGAAAGGTTTTTTAACTGATCACGATGTAAATGAGTCATCAGGGTCACTAATTGAAGTCACATAGTGGAATAATGACAGCGAGACAATAAGCATGCTAAAAATACGCCTTCTTAATCATGTACACCTGATGATTTGTGTGGAGGGGCTATCATGCATGGTGGACAGGGGAGGGACAAGAAGGAACAGGGCAGGGAGGCCGCTAGGCAGGGTGTGGGAGTTTGCCCTCAGAAGGGAAGAACCACAGCACTGACACTGGCTTGGATGTCCTTGACTCGGGGGGTGGGGTGGAGAGGGGGGCTGAGTTTGACTGAGGGAATGATTCACGCGCATTGGAGGCATGCAGACGCAGCCTTCTAAGACACCTTCACTGTTACAGCGGTCATAAACAGCTTCAAATTACTAATGTTGCACAACCCTTGGCTTCGTCACGGCTTCAGGCCAAGCAGAGCCATGTTCCAGGCACGGCATCGGTACCCGCCTTCCCAGGAGCATTTACTGTGCACACCCTGGTAGGTGTGCTGCACGTGACAGAGAGGCACCCTCCTCACCGTCTCTCCCAGGATGACACGTTTTTCCAAAGACCATCAAGCCTTGAAAGTCTCCACACACCAAGACTGTGTGGCAGCACACAAAATATATCTCTACCCAAAATACGGCAGGACAAGTCACCATTAATAACGCAAGGGATCATGGGGATCCGGTCAGTCCAATTCCTCTGCCAAAAGTTCAGAATGTTTGCTCTGTGCTTTGCTTCTTTTTTTAAAACTCTGTTCTTGGTTTGCTTCAGTACATTTCTTATTTAGATCCCTTACTGAGTATGTCAAACTTTATCTGTGACCTTACTAGGGCATACCAGCGGATACAGGAACGGCAGGCCTTCAGAGCTTTGAGGTTTTTCTAAATCGTGCTTGCCAGCCAAACATTTCCCATTTCTCTCTGCCATAGCTACCATCATCTTTGCCATATATGCAGAAATTGCCAGAGGAAAAGCAAAGAAACTCTACCTTATTTTAGGTTGGTAACAGTATTCTATGACTATTTCTTCGCTATCTAATACTTCCAGACCCAGCATTTCTATATGTCGTTGCTCACCCTCGCCTCAGTCCCACACAGCCTGTGGTATTCTGATTTCACAAACCCAGGCTCGGCTATTCAGGGATTGGTCTGACACCTCACGATCCAGGTTGTGGAATTCAGGCTGGGATTCAGCCCCACTCCTCTTCAGACTGAGCCACGGGAAACTGCCAGATGTCAATTATTTCTTACCCAAACCAACGATTTTATAGTTTGACCTAATACTGTAATATGTTGCCCTTAAAAGGAAATCTCCTGACATCCTGGAGTCTTTCCAAACTGGCAGCACGAGGGTTGGAGACCAGCTAATACTG